CCCCCCTTTTTTCAAAAATTCCAAAAACCCCCCCCCCCGGAGGGGGGGGGCCCCCCCCCCCCCCCCCCCCCCCCAGGCCCCCAAAAAAAGTTTTTATGGGGGGGCAAAAAGGGGGGGGGGGGGGGGTTTTTTTTTTTTTTTTTTCAAAAAATTGAATTTTCCCCTTTTTAAGGCAAGAAGGGGGCGGGGCAGCCTTTTTGGGGGGGGCCCATCCCCGGGGCCCCAAAGGGGACCAAACCCCCCCGGGTTTTTGGGGGGGGAAAAAATCCCCCGGGGGCCCCCCCCCCCCCCCCCCCCCCCGCAAAATGTTTCTGCACGGAGCGTTGTACATTCAAAGCGAGTTTAGTTGGGCTTGCCTGGGTTTCATATCTTTTCTCCCTGATCAGTACCTTTGAAGTGTCTGGTAACCTCACAATCCTCGAAGCCGCACAGAATTACAGCCAGTAAAACCACCGTTTCTACCTCCTCCCCCGTACCCCGCCACGTCCCGCCGTGGGAACGCGTTTCTTTGCCGATTTTGTGTCGTCCTTGCACACGTCGATCGCGCACTTCTTTGATTTGTGTTGGCGCGTTCCTCTCCGTCGTTTGCATCTACCAGTACGTCCTTTGCCATTGTTTTCTTGCGTGCACTCATGTGCCCCTCCTCTCCATGGTTGGCATCTGTGTTCTTCGCCATTTTTTGCTTACGTGCACTCATGACCCCTCGTCTTCTTCCCCTCTTCGCTCTTCGTATTGATGGCGGGTGCCTCGGGTTCGATCGAAACGGGGGTCTCAACCACAAAACCGAACACGAAAAACGATGGATGTGACACTTGCACTAGGGAGGGGATCGTTGTGTGTTCGACAAGTTTCTCGTGACCAACTCCATCCCAACGACGACGGACAAGCTGCCCAAAGATGATGTGTACGTGGTGCTCGACCTGGTCAACCGGATAAAGGAAGACCTGGATCTGCATAGCTCAGTTTAGCATAGCCTTTCTTGGATCTCGGTGGTGACGTGCGGCTTGGGTTTGTTTGTCGCTGTAGGATGGAGGTCCGGGGCATGGTTTTTGTCAGGGGAGGTGTAGGGCTAGGCCTCCACCACAAACCTACCTGTAGCTCTTGGCAGCCCCACCGTTTTTCCTACTTTGCGTCTCTAGTTTGTCACGCGTGTTGGCTTATGTTCTTGGTGTCACTGGCTCTCCTCGCAGAGCACGACAAGCAGGATGTCTGTAGGATTAGGTAGGTGTAGGGAACGATCTCGACGTGGACGGCGAGGCCCCCAAGGCAATGAAATGCTTTTTCACGGAAGACCGCGACCTTCCGTGGTTTGCCACGGATTTCGCTCGCTTTTTTTTTCTTTGATTCACATCAGCGCTAGCGGTACACGCTTGTGCCGTTTACTCCAAACCGTTACCAACTAGACTACTGGGGCGACCAGCTCGCTTGGATTTGTTCTCTTTGCGTGTGTGTTTGCAGAGGCGTTCTTCTTTCCCTACGAGACCCGAATCGTGAAGAACGTATCTCAGAGAAGGTTCTGTCTTGCTGTTATGACTATCGTGCGAGACCTTCGTCTCCACTCTTTTGTGTGTCCTTTATAAGCATGTGGGTACCCTATGTTGTATCTCTTTCAGACAGCCCGGGCGATATCCTTCTTCCCAAAACTTCTGAACAGACCAGCTGGTTCGTACCTGTGTAGAAAACCACGTTCATCTAACCATTTTCGGCAGCGTGACATCACCACGTCTAATGAGCCTTGAAAAAAGAGTACAAGTGCAACCGTGTGACATTGGTGACGTACAGTCGCCCTTCTTCCACATTGACGGTCCTTGTTGTCACTCCCCTCAGAACTCGAAACACCGACGAGATCAACGGGAGCCTGCCGTTTAAAACGCGTTTCTGCAACAAAATTCATGTTGCCGCTCTCCAAAAAAGCTCAAGCGGGTAAACGAACAGTAACACCAGTACTAACGTCACTCACGACAGTATAACGAAAATATCGACAACGATCCTTCACCTCCTCGTCAGTTCTCTTATCTGTAGGGTCAATCCAGCTTGAAAGGACCCGTCACAGCCCGGCATCATTGAAGAGGCATCATGCAATCCAACTGGAACGGTTCGTCGGAAAGACGTACGATTGTCAGTTTTTACGATGTGTCGACCATCATGTTGCGGTCGCCATGCTCAACCAGCACCATGGTGCATGCCCAGTGATGTGCTTAACCACGCATGCGCCCTCAACCCGCCATTCCCCCCCCAACGCCCGAAGGTCGGTGCGTTTCGTCCCTCAGGAGCAAATACAACAACCAATCAAACCCCAGTCCCTGTGATATTCAGGGCCACCAGCTACATCCTCCGCTGCATCAACGACCACCCCTTACAGAATGCACACCCGCCCATGTCTGAAGCCTGAACGACCAGGGATAAAAGGCGTTCAAGCTGGGTTGGTTCGCTTGCGTTCATGGCGTGTCCACCACACACCTCTTCTCCTCCGTCGATGTACCGCGGTTCACAACGTCTCTAAGGCACGGTGCCAAGAATCTGATCCACCCAGCGCAACGGCTACCCGAGACGTCCTCCGCGATATTTGAACTGCCAGCCCTCGAGCACCTGGTACCACTTTCGAGCGTGTATTGCCACGAAGGAAACAAGCCGTGAAATGAAGGGGTTGGCCAACTCAATACTGAGTGGGCATCAGGATCTTAGTCGCTGACATTACGCATGTTGGTCACAATCGCACCTATCCACGTGCCGGTCTTCCTAACCATACCCCCACTGCATCCCGGACGCAGGACCCGCACAACCGGAGGTGTGCCTCCTCGACGGTTGCCATAGCAGACTACCCCCCTTACGAGTCACACTTTGCAAGGAGGCCGGCCATGCGACTTCGATCAGAGACTGCTGGAATTCGTCTCCAAATGTTAAATGCTGCAGTGAGGGAGGCCATGCAACTTCGGTGACGGGCTGGTTGAAGAGAAATCCAAATGATAGCTGTTGCAGGGAGACCGGCCACACACTTCCAACAATCGGCTGGTTGAATTCACACCCGAACGATAGTTGCTGCAGAGAGGCCGGCCACTCGACTCCGGCGACGGCCTGATTGAAGCAAAATCCAAACGATAGCTGCTGCAGGGAGACCGGCCAAACGACTTCGGCGATGGGTTGGTCGAAGTAAACCCCAAACGATAGCTGCTGCAGGGAGACCGGCCACTCGACTCCGGCGATGGGCTGGTTGAATTCTTTACCAAACGATAGCTGCTGCAGGGAGACCGGCCAAACGACTTCGGCGATGGGTTGGTCGAAGTAAACCCCAAACGATAGCTGCTGCAGGGAGACCGGCCACACGACTTCGGCGATTGGCTGGTTGAACTCTTTACCAAATGATAGCTGTAGCGCGGAGGCTGGCCACCTAGTTCCAACGATGGGCTGGTTGAAGTAAACTCCAAACGATAGCTGCTGCACGGAGTCAGGCCACACGACTTCGGCGATGGGTTGGTTGAAACACCATCCAAGCGATAGCTGCCGCAGGGAGGCTGGCCACAAGACGTCGTCAAGAGGCTGGTTGAAGAAATAACCAAACGATAGCTGCTGCAAGGAAGCCGGCCACACGATATCGGCGATGGGTTGGTTGAAGCCAAACCCGAACGATAGCTGCTGCAGGGAGGCCGGCCACGCAACGTCGGCGATAGGCTGGTTGAAGCAAGAACCAAACGATAGTTGCTGCAGGGCGACAGGCCACGACGTCGTGCTCACAGGCGTATCCGACTCAAATAGCAGCCATTTGAGCCTTTGAAGCGACATCACCGATCCCAGGCTTGCTGCAGGTGAATGTCCGTTCAACCGTCGGTATTCTGCCCCTGACTGCAGCTGAATGGGAGCGTTCTGCAGCAGGACCTCCGGCGAATCTACCAAAGTCAAACCAAAAGCCTGCACAGCCGGAACGCGACTCGCGATGCAAACCTTTCGACTGCGCTTGTGGGCTGTGATAGGCGTTGTGCGCGGAGACCACAAGCTCCGAGGAGTTCGTCGATCGACACGCACGTGCAAGGTTGGGACATGCCTGCACGCGCCACAAAATTCCAGCGACACGAGCTGCAGCTCCAGGGTAGACGCATACCAACGTTTTTCTTGTCCATCGCAAGTCTGGTTCAAGGCAACGACGAAGGCGTCCAGGCACTTGCTTCTTCCTGAGATAAGTGGATGGCAGGCACGCACGTTGGCATGCCAATAAAGAGTGTTGTTCCCTGGGGGCAGTTTCTTGATGCGCGGTTGAGCGTTTAGATGTCGGATACAAGCAAACAGGTAGAGGAAGAGGGGGATCCTCCACGTCAAAAACATCATTTACTGCCAACAGCAGGCCTTGATCACAAACACAGAAGTATCTCGTGATCGATCACTTGTTCCTGTCTTCTATTTTTTTTTTTTCACCCCTTCTTCGAACACTAGGTGGGTTGGGGGCAAACGCACCAATCGGTAGGCGCTGCGAGACACATGAAGATACGGTCAACTTGGTTGGTCGGTAAAAACAGTAAATGACGGAAGCCTAAGTTGTTTCGTTCGAGGGTTGCTTCATTATTGTTTCTTAAAACACCGCGGATAAGGAGAGAGGAGCGGGGTAGGGGCCGGCGCTATTTAAAAACACACAAGACTCATGCCTGATTCCCCCTCAAAAGCAGTCTCTCTCACTCTCTGCTCACAAGTCAGGTATATCCAGCCGGGGCAACCCGCTGGAATGACTTTGTCCCCAAATTGTACTCGACCATTAACCCACAAGTAGAAAACAACCAAGCGAAGTAAGGAGTTCGCACCTTTTCCGTTCAAGAACCTTCGAAAGAAAATGGATGGGTGGCCGGGAAAATATACTACTTTTGTGTCGACCTACGTTGGCCAGCGCCTCAATCCTCCGGCGTCCGTGATTCTCTCTCGCGCGTTCACGTGCGAAACGACCTACGACGATGGCGTACATGTGCTCTCCCTACTTGTGCCCACAAAGTGGGGGTGCGTGAACTCCGTTCTACGTAGTCCCGGTTTTCCAACAATGATGCATATCGCACTCCTGCGATTACAACAAACATCAGTCTATTCCGTCTCCGACAACAAACCTAGGTTTTGGATGCTGCGGCTTTCCATACTATGTAGACTAGAAATTCAGGGTCTTTGCCACCATTCCTGGCGATGCTGGGGCAACAGGTCCACCTCTGATTCTCGGTATTCAATCAACCCTGTAACTTTCCGTTCGTGTGCCAGTATTCGTCAATAATGACCTGCAGCTCGACGTTGAGGGCTTGTCATTCTACTAAAGTGGGGTAGTGGGGTCCAAGAAGTGCATTTTCTTCAAAAGGCCCTGCAGGGATAATCCAATTTGAGAAGTAACCAGAACGGGTACAGTATACCCGGGTGGATTATCACCATTTATTTCCGGGTACACTTGGAAATCAACACGACACCAATCTCCGACAGCATCCGCCGTAAATCGCGGCGAAACCAATAAACCGCTGTGTGTCCTGTGTCCTGTGCCCTGTGCCTCGGAAGCATCATGCCCAAGGCAGGTCGTGCCCGTTTTTCTCTCTCTCTGTGCCTCTCTCTCTCTGTGCGTGCCTCTCTCTCTCTCTCTCTGTGCTTTTACTGATCAGCACCACACCGAACGAACTCGCGCGTCAAGCGAGTGCGACCCTCTGTCGAGAGGGGCCGGTATCCTTTGGCGGCGGTGCCCATGAACGAGCGAGCATTATTGGTGGTTTGGTTGTGGGTATGTATGTGCGGTACACGGTATGTGCGGTACACGTTTTTTTCTGCGGGTTTTCTGCTAGAGCGTCGGGCGCCGGGATTATGACCATTTCTGGGTACAAAATCGACCTCTTCCGGGTACACTAGTAACCAATATCGGTCACACCAGAGGGTCCTAATGCCAGCGGTAGTTGTACCCGATGGAGGTTTCTTCAGAAGTGGGTACGATGGTTTTTCGGCCAATCAGCTGATAGCCTGGGGGTGCAAGCGTGTTGATTTCGAAGTGTAAAGTGGTGTGATTGCGGCACTGGCAGAGATGACTACCGTCGGAAAAGAGCAAGACGAGGTAGTCGAAGGCCTTGTCATCACGCTGCTCGTGAATCCCGAAGACGTAGATGACGTCGCAAAGCTTGTCCTCGATGTACTCGAACGTGCGCCCCAAAGCTGCCGCGCGTTCTGGTCCATCCACCTCCCCACCACCCATCTGGCAAAACGTGATGGCCGCGGTCATCTCTTGCTCCATGAACCGCCGCGGCCAGCCCGCGATGGAGAACTCGCAGGACTCGAGCACACTTTTGAAAGCGGTCGCTGGTGGAGCCGCCATCCGATTGGGCGGCAGATGGTCGATGGCGTCACGCAGCATGGCGGCATCCTTCTGGGAACAGATGATGCCCGAAAAGTACTTCGCCACGTCCAAAAGCGAGGAGCGCGAGTTGCACTTATCCCTGATGAGGGCGTTTTGGCCTGTTGTGTGTGCGGCGGACAAACACGCAAGAAGCGACACACAAACCAAACCGTAGGTTAGTGATTGGTGTCATCAGACATCGTCGAAGTCGCAGTACGCCAAACGACTGAAAGAGAAGCCTATGACTTGACGCACCCATCGCCACAGATGTATGTACACGTGAGCCGGACGATCGCAGTGCACCGACCAAGTACATCAATCCCGAACAACTGGGGCCGGACAACAGCCACATGTTTCGAAGAGGTCGTAAACATTAGCGTCATGTAGGGAGTTGTTTACTGGTCATTCACTGACGGCGTACGATAAATTCGTCCAGAAGCACTCACCAATGACATAGTAAATAGGGGGCAAGGAAGATAGCCGCCCCAAACCCCTACAGACGTAGAAAAACTCCCAAAAACAACGACAACACTATATGCGCTGTCGTTCTCGAACAAAACGCTCATGGCAGATGACGCATAAACGCACCTTCAACTCTTGATGTCGTCCACGAACCCACGGAGAACACCAGGGGCGACACATATTCCGCCCACCGTGCGCGGTCGTCATATACCACTCGCATGTACTTCTCCGCCTTCGGGTACTTTTCGATGAGGGCGTTGAACTTCCGTTCGAACTTCGCCAATGACAGCTGCTGACGCACACACCTGAACTCGTCCATGAAAGGCTGCGGAAAACACAAACGACGTGGGCCGGGTGGGTGTTGCGTGAGTTGGGGCCTGGGCGATGGGCTACCGGTCTGTACGATTGACTGCCACCAACAGCCCCGTACACTTCGTTAGCGCTAAGGCGAGACGAGGAGAGGGTTGAAAAAACTCAGCGACATACCATTGATGCTTACAACCTGCTGCTGCTGCTGCTTTTTCTGTGTGCACTGGACGTCGTGAGGTATGTTTCCGTCGAAGCCGAGGCCGTCTCCGCATCACGGTCTACGCAGAGACGCTGGATATCACTCTTCCAAGTAGACGACAACGCCACTGATCCATGACAACGCACCAACTCGCACAGGGGATACAAGCGGGAGTGGGGGAGGGGGGCTAGAGTGGGCAGACTAACCACGCCAACACACACAGTAGAGCGCACCTTCATGTCCCCACCAAGGACTTTAGGCCTTGCTGATGTTCTGGTTGAGGTGCCATAAACAGCGCCTCGCCAGCGCGTCCGGGAACACCTCTCGCACCGCCGCCGTCATCGCCGCGTCCGCGTCCTGGATGAAGATATCCGGCTGCTTCCCCCCGCGAGACTCCAACGCACTCCTCAACATCCACAGGAAAGTGTCCGTTGTGGTGTCCGCCGTTATGCTTTGGCCGACGATCCGCGTCCGATACTCCGAATCGATGACAGCGAGCACACCGAGGGGCATCCGGTATCTGTTCTTGACGGCGGTGTCGTCGTAGAGCGCAACGTGACCGTACCGATTCCAAAGCGCCACCTGCGTATTCGGAGCATGACGTCGAAGGGGATCGAGAGCACTTAATTGTGGGTGTGACGTGTGTTGGACGCGTCACAACGCACCCCCACCCTTGCCTACGGCCTGCTTTCGGTCAGACGTCCTACATTTGCGGACGGCCAAGCGGTACGTGCGAGATGCTAAAATGAAAGCAAACCTTCCGGCTGGGGAATATTCGTATGGGGCACAACGACCAGCGACCTACCTGCTCTCTCGTTTGCCACCAGATGTGCGTCAGGCGGCCGTTGTCATCCATCTTGATCTCGCACACTCCGCCGTCGGCCGTCGCGGCCATGACCTGAAATTGCAACATGTTAAGCGCCCGGAAACATCGAGGGCATCAGCGCAAAACCACGACGACGGCACGGCACACATTTTTTACCTCCAACATTTCTTGGTTTGGTGTCATGGGGCATATATTCTCCCGGTTGTCACCTGCGATCGTATGTGTCTTGTCGCCCGGTTACCGCCTTGAGCAAACCCAACATCCCACACACAAACAAGAGAGGCAACAGTCTCAACGGACACATGGACACACCTCTTCGTACGCATCGGCGGCATCTCTGGGCTTCTCCGCCCCGTGCACAGTGGCAGCCGCGTTCTGCACCGCGCGCTTGTTGATGTCGATGTCGCTGTCCTCGTGCAACGCCTTCATTGCTTTTGTCACCTCTTTTGGCTTCATCCCATGACCTGCGCCGTATGGGAGAGCCGGGAGCACAAAAATAAGTGGCGTGTCACAGACAAACAGGGTAACAATGTGGAGGCGACAGCAGTACCACGCTTCAAGGGCCGTTCGTCATGCGGCATCATGACTACCAACCATGACAAACCGTGGGACACGACGGGAGCCACTGTAGACCTACTCCAACGAGTTCAATCTTCTCACTTGTCATCTGTTTCACTTGACCCAGCTGCTCCTCCGTTAGTTTTGATGCGAGGCGAAGCTTGACGTCGATGGCCTTGCGGTCGACGCTGTGGTTGTGCGTGAGCTTCATGTTGCTAATCCTGGGCCACCTGTGGGACTTCGCGTGCCGGACGCTAACCTGAAATAACGGAACGGTGGGTCCACACCAAGGATAGAAGAGGAATAATTAAACGATGGATACGTGGGATACGTGTGTGTGCAATGGATCACAACTTCATGGATCACAAGACACCCGACCGACCCCTCCCCAATTTTAAATACGCAGTTCGGACATCTTTTTCAATCTCACGCTCGAAGACCTCAGACACCTGTTGGACCCTTTCTCCGTCCACTGCACCAAGACATGTTCCGCGGGAGACCAGCTACGTACCTCAAACGGACAACCAGTCCTCGCGCTTCCCTTTACGTTCCGCCGTTGTACCCCAGGTGCTGCAGCACGCAACGACATGGGAGACGGAGTATAGGCGGTGTGTCATCGGCGGTGTGTCATGCATTCACCTGCACCGAAGCATGCATGCTAACAACAGGCTTGCCCGCGACTCGCCCCGTATTCGTCGCCTCAACCATTCTCCTAGTATGCCCAAGTGCCACGGATGGAACGCTTACCGGTGTCTAGACTGGCTTCGTACTCCAGTTGACGGCTCTTCCCGCCTCGGGTACAAATCAGCTTCTTCATGTCCACACGATCCGTTGCGCCGTCGCGACACCTCGTCGACTTCGCGGTAGAAAGGATCGCCCCTTCACCGGCGCACAACCTCACCACCTCCTCCTCCACGTCTTCAAGCGTCTTTCCCTCCGTCTGCACTGCCTCCAGCTTCGCCTTTAACACAGCCGGAACGTACACCTAGTTTTCAAACCGCAATACGACGGGTTAGACAGCGGCACGTGCTTCGGGGTGTGGACGATTCTACAGCACAGTGGGATGTTAGAGCATCGAGCACAAAAATACCCGAACTGGATTACTGTACTACAGCACCGAGCAGGCGAATGCAGCGGGCAAGTCACACAGAATGAAAATTCTTGTAGATACACCCAGACCAACACATGCATGGCGTCGTTGAGCCATGCCATCGCAGCCTCCCCGTCGTGCATGAGGGTGCAACACTACGGGCATTGTCACCTGCGTTTCCGGCGGAGGGCTGGTGGTCAATGTCTGCTGCTGTTGTTGCTGTACGGGGTGGGCTTGTACAGGGTAGCCCGCAAATCCTCCGGCGGCCCCAGCATCGGGAGCACCCACAGGGGCCGGAGTTCCCGGCGGCAGACCAGTGCGAGGTGAAAGCATAGCCTGCAACCGCACGCGAAACGCACCACGCGGCGGAAGGGAAGGACACCATGTCAACGTTTGATCACAAGACAAGACAAATGAAACGTTTCGCCGTCCACCGCTGAGTACACGAAAACAGCGAACCGTACGTGCACGCGTTGAAAGGCACGAGGTACAGCACAGCAGCGACAATCCATTGGCGTGCTACCCACGGAACAAACATTGCCGGTGTCACGCCGAACTGCACTAGTCAAACATCAACCCGTCTCGCCTGCGTTTCCGGCGGAGGGCTGGTGGTCAATATCTGCTGCTGCTGTTGTTGCTGTACGGGGTGGGCTTGTACAGGGTAGCCCGCAAAGGCTCCCGCAGCGCCAGCATCACGAGCACCGTAAGAGGCCGGCAGAGCAGCACTGGATGGAAGCATTCCTAGCAATGACACCACCTCACGGCAGGCCACGGGTCCCACGACGCGAGCATGGAGGGTAGACACATGAAGTTAAGAGGTTAGGCGAGTGCGTGCACAGATGCCTGCACCTCTACCAGCCCAGCACTGTAGCACCACCATACAGCCGAGCAGCCAGAAAAGACTCCGGATTACAGGGCAAGGACAACAGGCAGGGCCTGGCCTGGCCTGACCACACCAGTGCAGCCATATGATCACCAACGTACGTACGACGGCAACAACAGGTACAGAGCAGCATCGACACGTGGGACAGCATGAGGGAGGCTGCAACACAAGAGACAGACCAACACACACATGGAGCTGGTGCGGGTGCGGCCGTTGCTATATTATTTCCAAAAAAACATCACAGAGAGGGTGAGGGTGAGGCACAGACACAGAGGATGCACGGACGGCTGTCGGGACGGGATCTCACCAGTTATCGTTGTGTGTCGTCTCCTCGTCTTGCCCCAGCGTGCGGGTGCGTGTCGCCGCCTTCAGACGGCTCTCCGCCGCCGTGATTATAGCTGCTTTTATAGGAGAGGGAGGAGAACCTCTTCGGGGACACTCCGGGCGGTTTCCCGGGGTTTCGATCCGTCTGGATGTTTGGACTGTGGTTCTCTTTTATAACCCATGGATTGCAAATATTCGCGCCCGATAAGAGTACCTGCGGGTTACCCGTTTCCGGTTATTGGTCGTACATTTTCTCCCAGGGATCGGTGTTCATCGATCGGGCTAGATCCTCAACTCAACGCAACATCCCTCACCTTCGGAATTCATGGCAACCGCTGCACAGTGCACCGAGCCAGCAGCAGCAGAGCGTGTGCAGGTGGCGGGCTTGCAGAGCAGAGGCCGTGTGCCGGGTGCCTGCGCAGCAGACGGCGGAGCCCCTGAATAAAAGTGCCGATTGGGATCCCGAAGAACCGGTTCTGGACACTATCGGGTTCGGTGTTGTGCAGGTAGCAGGCAGGGCCTGTGCAGCTGTGCAGGGTGCAGGGTGCAGGGTGCAGGGTACAGGGTACAGGTCGGGTCTACAGGGGCCGATCGCCGACTTGTTCGCTGTCTCACTCCTCCCTGCCATCTGCACGTGGCACTCAGCTGATCTCACCAGCCGGCTGGCACCGGTCTCTCCAACGGCGTGGAGTGTCTGCGGTCGTATGCTCTTTTTTCACAGGATTTCACACACCTCACCACCCACGACACCCTCTCTTCAACACAGACAGGCATGACCACAGTCGCTGCTCCTGAGCCCGCCGTCTCACATGCATACCCATGGTGAGTTGAGTTATTGCTCTCTGTGCCCGGTGGGTTGAAAGTAGCGGTTGGGTCGCTCTGCTACAGCTGGTCCGGCGGTTGTTGCCGGCGCGTGGCGGAGGCAGGCATCTTGGATGACAAATAGCAGCAACCAGCCAAGCAGCAGCACCTTTGCTTTCGTCTAGAGAAAAGGGAGAAGAAGCGGCGTGAGGAACGGCGCGCGCGAGCCTTTTGGCGAATCAGCGGGAGGCCATTGCGACATCATACCCAAACACAAACTGAGCCTCTTTTCGGATCTTTTTTATGCCAATGTTTGTCTGGGCAATTTTGTCTGAACCATTTTGCCTGAGCAAAACGAAACATTTTCCCGCAACTCCCCAGTTCCACAAAAGAGGTTGAGCTACAGGGTAACCTTCCACACCCAGTTTCACTGGTACTGCTGGCTAAGTTTGGCAAAGTGCGTGCTGCAAGGCTTTGGAATCTTGTATCAAGGAACTATGCGCTTGCGTAAATGTGTTTGTGCGAGTGTACGGCAGTGTGAATTTTGGCGCCACGTCCCAATACCTAGCCCGACCTAGTTAAGGCATTTCTCCGTCAACGTTGGTTGTGCGCTCGCAATTCGACAAGGTACTTTTGTTACGTTTGTTGGGGGGTTTCTCCGGTAGTTGGTCGTCTATTTTCTTCGCCTATTATTTCTTCCTTACGCGTCAGTCTATCTGCGTGCTTATCTGTCTCTCTCTCTGTCTCTCTCTCTGTCTCTCTCTCTCTGTCTGTCTCTCTCTGTCCCTCTGTCTGTCTGTCTCCGTCTCTCTGTCTCTGTCTCTGTCTCTGCCTCTCTCTGTCTTTGTTTCCCCACCTCCGTCCCGTCGTTTTCTCTCGTTTAGGCATCGTATTGGCACCGGGAGGCCCGTGCTTGATCGAAACATGAGTCGTAACATCAAACCCTAACACAAAAAACGATGGGTCTGACAATTGCGCTACGGCGGGGGTCGTTGCGCACTCCGCAAGGTTCTCGTAACCATCTACATCCCCACAACCACGGACAAGCTGCCCAAATATGTCGTGTATGTGGTGCTCGACGTAGTCAACCGGAAAAAAAACACCTGAACCTATACCTGTCGGTTTTCTATTTCTTGAATCTCAGCTGGAGCGTACTACTTTGGTGTTTTGTTTTGTGCTTCTCGTTGCTCGGAAATGTACCTTGTTTCGCCGTAGGATGGCGGTCCTGGGCATGACTGTTGTCCGGAGAAGTCTAGACCTGGGCCTTCACAAAATACATACGTACCTCTTCGCACCACAAACCTTTGATTGAGATGATTGAATCTCTACTTTGCTGCGGGTGTTGTCGTATGATGCTTGTATCATTTACTCTTCTTGAAGAGCATCCTTCACGTAGCATGTCAGTAGGATTAGAAAACGATCTCGGCATGGACCGTACATGGCGGTCCCCCCGAGGCCTTGCATTATTTCCGCAGACGGCAGCGACCTCCGTTGGTCCGGTGTATTGCCACTGATTGTTTTGGTCGGTTGGATTTGAGTTTTCGACTTCGACGTATGTATGTAAGTTGCTCCTGTCCATGGCACGTGTTTCATCCATTGTCAGTCTGAACCACGAAGATATCTTCTCATATGATATGCTTCCTTGCTATCTTGCCTTCCTTGCACAGCAGTAGGTAGACCTTCGGTTCCACACTCTCGTGCGTCTCTGCATTCATTCATGTATGCACCACCGTGTGGTTTTGGCGTGTATCAGCCCTCTTCTTGGGGGGCGCCCACAACTAACTACAGCCGGGGCGGCCCCCAATTTTGGTGATGAGGAGCGAAACGAGAAGTCCGCCGGAACGTCAGCAGCGTGCCTTGGCATAGCATTCTATGCCCCAGTGTCACGCGTCGGACACGTTGATATCGTTACGGATAAGGACGGTGTAATGCTATGCGAAGAGGGTAGTAATGGGCCATGGATGCGGCCACCTATTGCTGAAGGCGCTGTTGAGCAAGAGGGAAAATATCGCAAGGGTTGGCGCTCTACTTCTCTATAATACACAACACGAGGACCCCACGACGTTTGACCGAGTCATCGACCCGTTTGGGTTGGAATAATCTTTTGGTAAGTTTTCGATTTCCAGTGGACAACCCGAGAGAAATGCTGTGAGACATGACTTACAGGGGTGAAAAACATATTAAAAAAGAAGAATCGGTCTACGTCGCGAGATCAGTTGTGAATTCCAAACGCTACTTTAGCTAACGAAACATTTCGATGGCAGAGGCAGGCTACCCTGGGGGTGACCTGCTCAACAGACCCTTTTGAACGGTTGGAGTATCCTGTAGCGTGTGAATATTGTCTCGGACAAGAGTGAGTGTGTAAGAGAGACAAGCGGAGAGAGGAAATGTTTGTAGAAATCAAGAGCGATTATTGTTGATACCCCAAAAAATGGTGCGTGTACCTACATACATTGTGGGGGCGGTCCCGGTTCACGGCACAAAGATCTTATTTAAGATTTGTTTTTCTTTCCTTCCTGGAAATAGATGTCACAACTGATTGGCTTGCTGTGATGGTATTAAGACGCTGTATTGAGAAAGAGAACACACCAGGATTAACCGAGGGAGGCTGGGGATGTGCCCATCGGCGGCCCCTTGCGAGAAGCCCACAAGATTACGAAGTACCTTACCCACCACATTACTGCACTGTTGATGGTATATGATATTCAAGATTCGGCAATTTTAGGTGCTGTTCGGGGCATCATCTCAAACGACCAATATTGGGCAGTGAAATGTCACATATACATATCTTGAGAGCATACAGACCCCACAATAGACGCATGCCATTACAACAGGTACCCTATTTTTTCTATTATCTTCGAAAAGGCTAAAGTGTTCCTTTCAAAAGGTGTTGTGGGATTACACGCGTAGCGATCCCTGAAGACCCTGATGAAGACTCACTTGTTTATTACTCTCTTGGAACAGCAGTGCTTGCTGTTGCCTTGCTCTCAAAGGTAGACTGAGCACAGAGGGGGAGGACATGCTCCCTCTAAAAGGGGCCACAAAGGTCCTGTCCCCTGTTTTATCCTTCCATCGGGAGTTACATCTCCCGCACTTTCCTCTGGGAATTACTCCGCAATACCGTTGGCACTGGCTACATTCAAATCCCATAACACTAGCCCACCCTGGAGGTTCTCATACGCAGATACTTGAAACCTAGGAAGGATCGAGGATGTGGAGCTCAAAAATACCAAGAATCACCCTCCCAAACCTCTCACACGATGAGTCGCAAGACCATCGTTTGACCTAACCAAAAAGAACGATAGAGAAGGAAAAGACGGGGGCTAGGAATGAAACAGGGGGACAATAGGCACGACAAAAGAAAACGTCAACGCTACAAATACCATAGCAGGTCGGAACCCAAAGAAAGGAAGAAAACGCTGGAAAAACACCGTCGGAACGGCGAAAACCAACCGTATCGATAGAACGATACAAAATACGAAGCAGTCGGTGTCGCCCAAACGACTAAAAGCGACGAAAATACTCACGCCAAGCTAACAAATCACAAAGAAAACCTAATGACGCTATAGCACGACGTACGTAAAAAGGTAAAAGAAACCACTCGTTTCGACAGCGAAAACCAAGGGGCCATGACCCAAACTAAGGTCCGACGGAATTAAACCGCCGCGGGGAGCCGACAATAAAGCTCAACCACGCGAACGGCGAAAGAAGCAGAAAGGCACAAATGACTCGAAAGACAAGACGACGTACCAGGCGGAAACAAACCGATCGCCAGAATGACGGGGGAAAAGGGGTCGAAATACCAAAACGAGGCCTAACACTGCGCTATCTAGAGGCAACAACAGCCTACACGTACGTACTTGCAAATGAGAGGACCGGACGAGATCAGGGGCGACCTCGAGTCCGTATCCCATCTGGGATAGAACACACACGTCACACAGGCAGATCCCAAGACACTCACGCTTGCTAACCGGCGCGTGCCGAATCATTTGGCGGCGAATGCTCCGCCTCCACGTTTCGCGACATGTCGACATTGCGAAGAAGTCCTTTCATGAGGGCGCTACCGCCGTGAACTTGAAGGCACCACGAACCGCAGACGGCCGATCCGAGGGTAGAGTAACGAACAACGGAGAGGGCGATCTGGACCGGTCCGGGGTCGTCGAGGAAGCGTACGATGTAGTGGTCGGCCCGTTCAGTCGGCCCAACAATCTTGCCCAGCCACCAGAGTCCATCTTGAGCCTTGTACCAGGAGAACGCACCCACAGGTAGAGGAGTATCGGCGAAACGACGGTCCCAGGTTGAGCGGGAGACAAAGGAGTAACCCGGAGGCAAATATATCTCGCCCTTAGCACGTGCCAATTCGCGTGCGGCTGCGCCAATACGCATTGCACGGTAACGACGATTCGTCTGACGGTGTTGATCCGGCGTACCCGTCCAATACCGGAGAATCTGCGATCGAGAGTGCTGAAGGTCCATCTCACGCTCCCAAGAAGGTCAGAGAAGACCCTTCCAATGTGTCTGATACAGAACAGCGATAACACCACCACGACTGCGAACAGACTGGTGATCAGTAGTTTGTTCCACGTCGAGAACGTTCGACCGAAGTCGAGAGGTCATTTTCCGTAACATGATACGGAGGAGATTTGGTCGTATAGTTGTTTTAAACATACTGCGTGAGACCAGTCGGCAGAAACCGTGGCAGGTCCTCAGCGTCATGCGGATTAGCGCATGACTTGCAGCGTGCGACCGAAACACGACGTTTCGAGTCTTTGCCCGGCAGGTCCGACGGAAGATCCCAAGTATAACAACTTGGCCGCGAGAGAACTGCCATCAGGGGCTTTCGAACAGGGGCCTACAGCCAACACTTTAAACGGATCGGTCCAAAGCAATGATAACTTCGCTTTGAGAACCTTGTCGTCGGTGCCTGATCGAACACCGGAGCGAATGGTAGATTCGGTATTATAGATCCAAACCCAATCGCCGATGGTGTAAGTCGGAAGCTTGTGCAAAGCATCCGAGAGAGCGGAATTTCGACGCTCGATCCGAGAAATGGATAACTTGTGCTGCTCGCGTACTAGCTCGTAAGCACGACGTTGGCGATCAGCAGCGAGGTCGCAATATTGGAGATGGTCGCGATCCAAACTTTGATGACCACGAGCATAAGGATGCTCGATGACAGTCATCGGAAGGCGAGGCAAACGGTTGATGTGCCCCTCATTAGGTGCTAAACCGGTGGCCGCGCTAACAGAGTTATTATACGCAAACTCTACATGAGGGAGATGGACATCCCAATCAGCTTGCCTATCGTTAACGACCATGGCAAGCGTTTGTGCTATGGTATGGTTAACTCGCTCGACACTACCATTTCCATTAGGATGGTACGAACTGGTGACCACTTTGCGAACTGCGAGACGTTTGTAAACGGCTTGTGACAGTTTCGAGCAAAATTGTGTGCCATTGCCTGATAAAAGACTCAAGGGGCAACCCCACAAAGGGATGTACCGATTCAATAAAATATCTGCAGTACCTTCAGCGGTAAACTCAGCTGCCGTAACGGCGTACATGTGAGCACGCCGACTAAACCGGTCGGTGAAGAGCAGAATGTAAGTGTTACCCCTAGGGGTAGTCGGCAGTGGGCCGAAATAATCGACACTCACGGACACTCCAGGTCCGGACGGCAGTGGCAAGCTTAAAATGGGCCACCGGGCCGTTTGTCGGGAAATTCTACGAGCTTGGCACTTGAGGCAATGGCGAACCCACCATTTGGTACAGGCGCTCATGCCTACCCACCAGTAGAAACGCTCTAACATAGACAGCGTACGAGCTGCACCAAGATGACAAAACGCATTAGCGTGACAGACCTGCATGATCCATGGGCGCATCAACATGGGGACGTAAACCCTAATAGGTTCGTCGTTGAGGAGACGTGCCGCACGCCCGCCATGGCGCGTGGAAGTGGCAGAAGCGGTTGTGGTGGGCTTCTTAACGAGAAGCACTACGTCATCGTCGTCAACGTGCAACCGGCCATTATGTGCCAGTTCACGGATGTCCGAAAACGAAGGTCGACGGTGTGACGGAAGGTGGTCAAGAAAACCAGGCTGTAATTCGGGAGGTTGACCTAGAAGGGTGTAGCGTATGGCGGCATCGCACACGGGTTCACCGCGTTGTTCTCGCGCCCAATCAGAATGGGAAAAACGCTCAACCGATTCGCGGAAATCGAGCTCCACGCCCGAAAGCACTGGGGTATCAACAGCCGGCGGAACACGCACCGAACCAAGCAAAGGTCCAGACGCGGGCGTCGGCGGTGTCGAGTCTGAGCGAACGGCCATCTCCGGAATTGGACTCAGTGGCGCCGAAGCGGCGGAATCTACCGGCCG